TTATATTGTGAGGTTCCTACATTAGAAGTTGTACAATTCAGAGAGGTGGGGGGAGGGGTGCTTACAAAGTATCCGTGCACACGTGTGTGTGTGTGTTCTGGCAGCAGTTTAAGACTCTATACACTGCCCGAATGGCCTGCCAGGGTTAATTATATGAGATTGGATAGTCGAGAAAATATTTCATAAAAGATTGCAAACATGAAACACTTACCAATGGTTGCTCCTATTTTGGAAGGGGAGCAGCCGAAGTAATTTGATTGTTGTCATTCTTCTTGAGTTTCTGCATTAGACCACAAATGAATGACTCCTCATAATACAGCTAAGAACAACACTTTGACCTTGCACTTAGATAAAATTCTTCAATTTTCAAGAGAGAAAAGACCATGACATGACAATATGGCCACACAAGGAGTCCATTCACATGTGATTTAAACCTCAAATGTAAAACGCATTTGAACCTCATGTAAAAACTATCAGTGATACTAAAGAAGAGAAATAGATTTCTTCATGTGTCCATTAATTAATCATGCAACTTGAGCCTGATCCAATAACTGGAAATCCATTGTACTTTATTTAACTGGAACATAATATGCTACACTTGACCTGGTACTATCAATCAGGTGAGAACATTTGCTTACCTCTTTCAGTGAAGGTCAACAGTGAGCAAATGGGGATGGGGTTAGGGATTGAGAGCAGATTCTGTTATTGCTGCAAGTGTAGGTGGTGAGGGGGGAGACAACAGCTGGAGAGCACAAAGGTTTTTGTCAGCAAAACTAAGGTGAAATGCTGTCGGTTCAAGCATTCGAGACATTAAGGAACGCACATGTGATTTAAACCTCAAATGTAAAACACATTTAAACCTCATGTAAAACATAGTAGTGACTATCAATGGCGGGAGAAATTTGCTTACCTCTTGCAGGGAAGGCCAACAGTGAGGAGATGGTGAGGAGATTAGGGATTAAGAGCAATTATGTTCTTGCTGCAACTGTAAGTGTTAGTGGTGACGGGGAGGCAGCAGTTGGACAGCACAAAGGCTTCTGGTTCGTCTGATATAAGGAAGTTTTTGTCAGCAAAATTAAGGTGAAACACTGTCAGTATTAAGTAACACCATACTAGTCCTAGAAGATGCATATCAGGTACAATCTGTTACACATAAGGAAGAAGTATCAGTGTGCACCTGAAAGAAAGACACTAACTAATTACTGCTAGTCCTACCATCTGAATGAACCCTGTGGAGCCTTCTTACTTTATAGCTCTGCAGGTAATTAATTCTTATAAGCAATATGCTAAAATGGATTTCCCCTTAGAGGAATATTAATATCCTACCTATACATTAAGATGCCAGGACCCTGCATATTCCATATCGCATACTACCTAGAATCCAACTAAGCCTGGCATATATGCATCATGCAGACACATTTCTCTTGGGATAGGATTACTAACAACCATTTGTTCATGTTCAAGTGATCCAGGGCGGCATATTTTGTGACTATGAGGCAATAAGTCAACACAATCAAAACAATGATTCTCATCTCCGATATAAGAACACTACATGGTGATGCTCAATCATGGAAACTGTTCAAAACAGATTGTGCAACTTGCTTGAAAACTGTTTCCACGATTGTGCATCAAGACAGATTTGAAACTGTTCTGGCAACATTAGCACGATGAAGCATTTCAAAGCAGGGCACGAAAATATTGGTGACTGCAACTACTAATTAAAACCATGACACTAGTAAAGCACAAAATTAAACTCCGCCCTTATCTTGTTGAAACAATTGCTAACAAAGCAGAACTAAATGGTATGTCCAATTATACAAGCTGGGCATGCCGATATTAAAGATCCGAGTTTACAACATCTGCAACCATGAAAAAACCCAAATAAACTTTCCCATGACAAATATTGAATGGCATCGAGACCATAGTTTAACAGCTCGGTTCCCAATACAGATATATTTTACAAACTGCACCAACTACACACAGTCACAGACTAAGCTAAGCCACCAAATCATAATGACTGGACCCTTACTGAGAAAAGAATGGCCAAATCAAGCACGTTTCACATATAATTCGCCACCATAAAGCATTCAAGCACAATATGAGGATAGCAAACTGGTATAGTAGTTCATAACTCGAGAACCTTATGGATTCACAATCAAATCCACGAAGAAGGACCACGAGCAACCGAATAGCCCACATCCCTCCCGTCAGATACGGGCAAAGCAATAGATTGGGGGTGAATTAATCTCCTCCAAATTGTTTGACCATAAATCCGACCCAAATCATTGGAGAATTCTGCTATCTGACCAGCCGAGAAGCAAATCGTAGTTGACTCAGATTTAGAAATGGGAAAACAAAAGAAGAAGATCCGTAAATTTCCTCTTCAAGAAAAATGTGTTCCGTCATATAAACAAAATCCAACACGTACCCTGACCAGAGGAAACCCAAGAAGGATACCTTCGTTTCGAGGACGAGGGTCAGGGGCCTGCGAAAGCGCTCACCAACCCTAACAGCGGCGCGGCGGCGCTAGGGGTTGAGGGGAGGCACGAAGAACTGAGGCCTCGTGGCTCGTGGGAAAGCACGAAGGTACCGCCGCTTAGCCGGAAACTTCGAGGAGGGGTTGTGGGCGCGTTCGTCGAGGTAGATGGGAAGGGTTTGTGGGCGCGTTCGTCGAGGTAGACGGGAATGCTGGGAGACGGGAAGGAGAAGCCTACGGGGGCGATTGGGTGGCAAATTTGACAATTTTGACCTCGGAACGAAATCAATTCACAGAATGAACTGCCCGTGAAACTATTTCACAGTACTAACCTTTTTGTGTAGTGCCCGCCACGCAGGCGCCACACACTATGGTGCAACGCCCAGCTCTAGGGCGTTGCACGTCAGTCCACCGTGGCAGCCCTTGGGCCCGCACCCAGCAGTGCAGCGCCTCCGAGCTAGGCGCCACACATGTAATGTGCAGCGCCTAGCGCTCGGGCGCTGCACTGTGACTTATCCAGCGGCTGGGCCCCCCTCCCCCACTCCCCCCACCCCACACACCCCAACCCGAGCTTTGCCCCCTCTCCCACTCTCTCCCCCTCTCAAATCCTCTCACAAATCTTGCAAATTTGAAGAATTTGTCCGTGAATTTAGAAGTCAAACCCTCCCTCAAGGTAATCTTCTTCGATCCCCTTGTTTTGATCCAAGTAATGCTAGTTTGGGGAAACCCTAGTTTTGTTTGGATCTAGAGATTTGCATGGAGATGTGAGATCTTTGTTTGCCAATTTCCTATGATTAGGCTTTGTTAGTATGTTAGGGTTATTCTTACGGGTGTTCTTATGTTGGTGCTAGGGTTATGGTTAGGGTTAGGGTTATTGTTAGGGTTATGGTTAGGGTTAGGGTTATGGTTAGGGTTAGGGTTGTTGTTTGATATATATTTTAGGGTTTGTATTCCGTGTGAATCCTTAAATTAGTACTCATGGAAGCAATGTTACGTTGTGTTGTTTGAATGCTTATAGGGATGGGAAGAACATGTGTGTTTGTTCATCATGGGGACAAAGACGCCTTTTTGAAAGGCAATATTGAACCGGACCCGGATGAGCTTGATATGGTGTTTGATAGTAGTCCTAGCTATGCGGAGCTCTTGCAACAAGTGAGGAAAGATTTGAATTGGATGAACCCTAGTGATATCGTTGAGTTGGAGGGAAGGCATAATGTAGGTTTTGGAATGCACATCCGTTGGAAGACAATGCGTGTCAACTCGGAGCAACGTTGGGTTGCATACAAGGAAACGGTGGTCGATTCACTTGACAACGCTCTTGAGTTATTTGCAACGAAGAAGGTTGATTCAAATTTGCATTTGGACTTGAACCGGAAACCCTCCCCTTTGGTTGCTAGTAGCCCCCCACCCTTGAAGCGAGATGAAATTGTTGAACCTCTTTTGACCCAAGAAGTGAGGCCAACATTGAGCCCGTTTACAAACAACCAAGATGAAGCTTTGCAAGAGGACAATGATGAGTATGCAGACGATGACAATGAAGTTGATCTCCATGACAACAATGTGGGTGATCTTGACAAATATCATTTGCAATAGACAATGGACCATTCCATCCCTTTTTCCCGTGCATATGCATCGGATTCGGATGACGAAGGTCCCGATGAACAAGTTGATGAGGAGGGGTTCACGGTGAAGGAGGCCGAAGCTTTCAAGAAGGTATTCGATCGGGATCACAAGACACCATTGTTCAAGGATGTTAGTCTCGCGGATGAAGCCGTTGTGGATGGTGGCAAATCTATATCTCTTGGGGTTAGGCCAAGCTCTCAGCGTGATTTGGGAGACGACAAGAACCGGATTGCTAAAGGGTCTAAGTTCGAAACCTTGTTGGAATTGAAGATGTGGCTCGACAACTACTCGGTTACGCATTAC